ACACACACCCTCCCAAACACACTCACCCACCCACATCCACACACACATATCCTCCAAAACACTGACACATATCTTCCCCCACACCCTCCCAAACACACACACACAAACATCCTCCCCCACACCCTCCCAAACACACACACACAAACATCCTCCCCCACACCCTCCCAAACACACACGCACACGCACTTAGCCCCCGACATGTATCAATTCACCGCTGATTGTCCGGGTGAACGTGGGCTCTGAAGACATTGCCGATGCAATTATTTTGCAGTTGAACATTTTTGCCATCAGCCCCATATTCATTATTTTGGTGTGTTCAGATTCCCCTTTTCTTTATAATAAATATGGTAAACTGAGGAGGGCACCACTTCATGGAACGAAACAGAACCACAACTTGTCCTGGGTGAGGAAAGTCAGGGGAGAAGGTGGAAATGAGAAGTGTGAAGGTGAGCGGGGAACGAGAGAGAGAAAGGACAGAGACACGAACAGATGTACACCAAGAAACGATACGTTTGCATTCAGAGAGGAACAAAGATTTCAAAATGTAGACATTAAAAAAAACAACAGAGAGCCAGGCATGTAGATAAGAAGAAACTTTAAGAGAAAAAGAGTAAGAAACAGAAAGGATGAAATAAGTTGGACAGATTTGTCGTGAACATGGATTTTGAAACTTGTAGCAGCCTCTAATATGATTCAGTTCCTGTGGCGTCTGATTAATCGGGCCGAGAGATACCGAGTTTGAAATGAAATAAATGAATGTCTGTAATGAGTGAAGATTAAAGGCAGTGAAACCAGCAGCTGCGAACAGTTCAGAACACTGGGAGAAAACCGCAAACATTTTAGGGTCTCTGTACCTGAGCCATGCTCCAGTGTACGTGTATCGCACTTGGCGCAGTCAAGACCCAGCCTCGTGGAGTTATCCATCCCGGGAGCTCCAGGCAGCTCCCGCTTCTCTCCCTCTCTCTGTCCCGCCTTTCAAACCGGATCAGGTGCGTTCTGACTAACAGATTTTAATTGGCCATAGTCCAGCCCTCGCTACCTCGCCTTCGCCAACTGCAAACACTTTGTACATTGCACATGATATTTACTGTCGTGAATAATTTAGAAGCATAAAACAGTTTTATCTGTTATTAATTCATTTTGAAATGTGCTAAATTTAGCAAACTCGCCACGTTCAGTCATTACAGCTTCGGCCATTTTTACCTCTCGTTTAATTTGTTTTTTTTTGCTAACTTTTGATGGTTTTAAACGTGATCTCGAAAAGGAGATCGGATTCCAAAAGCTTTCGGTTGCAGTGCAAATATTTTGCAGCTGAACATTTTTCCCATGAGTCCTATGTACTTATTTTGGAGTGTTCAGATTCCCCTTTTCTTGTGAAAGTCTTTTTCTTTTAAAATTTAATATGGTAAGCTGAGGAACATCGTCGGGACCAATATGACGGAAACAATGACATTGGGAATTAGATGTAACCGGTTTTAAACTGTTATCAACTTCTTAACAGTGTCAGAAATTGTCAGGACCCACCGAGAACGGCGGTAAATACTGGAAGAAGTCGGTATTTAACATCGACAGATTAATCGCCTCTTTCTGCCGTGATATGATCAACAAATCATCGGTGATAAACTGTATTGATGTACGACTGCTTTTAGCCTGTGCACAGTCACAACTCCTCTCTGAGACATCGGACCGTGCAACTCTCTCAACTATAGCTCTTACACCTGGCAGCCTGCAACTTTACTGAGATTCCTGACCTTCCTGAACCCAGCCCTGGAGTGTCGGGCTAGAGCCTCCTCCCTCCTTGGTTTATTTGAAGAAACTGAGGGCGTGGCTTCACCCCAACTCTTCTCGCTAAATTCAGTCAGCGGTGATGTCAGGGAGAAGCTCCAATCAGGGCTGCTTTCCCTCAGACACGTGCTTGAGACATTTTTAAAAAAAACACCCTTTGCAAAGTGACAGAAGTTCATTTTAGTCCAAAAGTGTGTTCGGGAGGTGGGAATCCGGCCTGCCGCTAGCGGCCGCCCAGCCGCGGATTCGCCCTTGTCCAAGGTGCTGAAACCTCCTCCATCCATCAAAACAAACTTCCCCAGCGCCCACTGCTCCATATCTGCACCAACTTGCTTTCTGGAATTTGTAGTCAAGGGTTTTTTGTTTGCTCCGGATCCTGATTTGGAAGTTGAAGGGTTTCACCACCAAGTTCAGCCAAGTTGCTATCCCAGTTCCAGATGACTGTGTAAAGTCTCCACAATGGAAGGGTCTAACGGCTCCAGCTTTGGGATTGACTCGATTCTGTCTCACAGAGCAGCCAGCCCCGTCTTGGCCAAAGGAGACCCGTTGATGGGCGACTGCAGGTCTCCCCAGGAGGTGAAAGCCGGTCTGAGCCCGGTATCGGATGTAGGTAGCGAGCAGAGCTCGCCTTCCTCGCCCGGCCTGGAGTGCGCCGAGGTGGCGCCGCAACTGCCGGGAGCCGCGGGCGGGATCGAGACGCAGCCGCATCCCGGGCAACTGTGCGCCGCTCCCCAGCCCAGGACTGCTACCTCCTCCTTCCTTATCAGGGACATTCTCGGAGACTGCAAGCCGTTAGCGGCCTGCGCCCCGTATTCAAGCAGCGGCCAGGCTCCCCAGGAAGCGGCTCATAAACGAGGAGAAGAATTCCTAGAGAAACTGGAGAAAAGGGAGAATTCGTCCTCAGACACGGAATATAAAGGTAAGGAGAGAGGGAGAGGCACTAGGCCAAGCTGAGAACATGAACAAATGATAGGAGTTCTGGGGGATCTGGCGGCTCCAATCAGGATCAACATTAACAGCTTTGCAATTTGTCATTTCTCATTTCGGGAAAAAGAATTTTCAAAAAAAAGCCAGAGTAGACGGAACTTTTCAATGTCAGAATTGTCCGTTCCTTCAAATTCTAAAACTACCGAATGTTGGGTGGTTAGAGCAGATTGCATTTGAAATAAAACATTTTTGAGCTTGTTTGAGCGGGGATGATTTGTACTTAATACAGACAATTAATGAAAACCAAGGTGCCTTTAATTCATGAATTCAGTCTTTATTGAAACAAAATACCGTCTGTCAAATTGCATCAGTATCGAATAATTGTTTTTGTAATGTCTGAGCAAATCGGCAAACTGACATTTCCCTCACATCAAACTCAGCAATTACCACTTCACCCAACCGAGGTGACTTTGTACAAAGAGCGGGCCGAGAAATGCCGCTGACAGCGAGAAAGTTTAAAACCCACACTAACTTGAAAAAAGATCGCGTGGGTTTAGAAATATATTTATAATTTAAAAAAAACACAACGCTGCGGGAAATTCATTCACTTTGCCTCTTTCAAGACGGCTGTAATCACCAGATGAAGCGATTCCTGAAGGTGGTCTGTAATTGAGGACAGGGGACATTCTTCTTCCAGAGTGAAAAAGGCGAGATATTTCTCAAAGTTTTTTTTTAAAGTCAACTGCCAGATGGTTGTCATAAAATGTAAATTGTTACTGTTGCGAAACTATATTTAAATATAATGCAGGCAGTGAATTTTACAAATGAGACAACACGCCGTTTGTCTGGATTGTCTAAACTGTGTGACCAAATGATAGTTTTCACTAAATAGATGCTAGGGCTGGGAACTAACCTTTTAAAAAAACAGGCAGTGTTGTGCTGAACTGTGGCGTCCAATTTCAGAGTTCATTTGGATTGAGTCAAGTATCAGAGAAACTTTGTCGAAGTGGAAATTTAATTTTACTGCATGTGATATTATGGTGATTCGGGATAGCTACCCTTGAGTTACACAACAAAAGTTATTTGACACACACGTTGAACCTAAAGGTATATTTAGAAGACCGTTGTTCGTTATAATCGCGCCAAAATCAACTTGTTAAAATGGAAATAAATGTATCTCAAATTAGAAGCTTTTATTTGTAGGTAAACGGCGTTGTCGGCGATAGGAAATGTAAGGAATGAGCAACTGGGAATGAAATGGGGAGGAGGAAAGGCTGTATACAAATGGGGTCAGTGAGTTGTGTAAGATTACAGAGCAGGAAGAGGATGCAGAAATATACACAGTCTGAGGATGCGATCATTCTTTGTAAAATAGTTGACAATTTAATACAGACCAACAGCTATTGAGTGAGAAAAAAGAAATGTGTGCGTGTGAGAGAGAAGGGCAGTGGAATGATGGAGGGGAAGTTATAAAAGTTTAGATTGTAAACTCCAAAAAAAAAATCAAAAGTCGCACCTGCTTGCCCAGCATCAGAGACTTTAGCTAGCACCAAAATCGTTCAATCACCGAAAAAGGACATGAATAAATAAACATTGTTTTGAAAGGATAACCTATCAAACTTACTGTAACTGAACATAAATCACGGGAACACAATGAACAGAAAGGTTCCGGGAGAGCGGGTTCATTTCATTCCGCCAGAACAGAGCTCAGAAAGGCCTCCGCTTTCTCAGGGAAGCAAACCTCCATCAAGTAAACTTTCCAATTTCCACCCGAACAACAGGAACACCAGTCAGAGATTCCCAGCAAACCCGGGCCATTCCTGTGCCTGAAAAATTCATCAATGGATTTCAAGCACAAACCGGTTCTATCACGATCCCATCAGACTGTTACAATCTGAAACTCATTCCTTGAAGTTTGGAACCGTGAATATTGCAAACACATTAACTCCGGCGGAACCTTCCAATGGGTTTCATAAGGCTAGTTTTCTCTGTTTGTGCTTGTTCACTCAATGCGTTTTGTGTTACAACATAAAAAAAGTTACAATATCAGTTAACGATCTAAATATTTTCGAGTTCCTGAAAGAGTTTCTTTAAAATAAAACAAAGGGTTTTTTGGCGGCTTCAGTAGCCGGTAGAGCCGGGTAAAAGATGAGAGAAAATGAGTTGAACGGTTTTCGGTGAGTCCTGTTGACAATTCCTCAATTCGTTACTCTCCGCCTGCACTCTGCACTCAAGAGTGTTTGATATCATCTCCATAAATGTGTCCAGTCCGTGTCAATCAGTGCTGAAACAGGCAGATCACATTCCACTTCTTTTGCTTCCATTTTAAATTAATATTAAAAACAAGGCCACAACTTTTCGGTAGTGAATTTCAGTAAAATAATTCCAGCGATATCTGAATATCGTGAATGTGTTCAGCTGTTATTTCCAAACGAATAACCCAACTATTCACCCGCAGACCCCTCCTGAACAAAATCTTGCGTCGAATAGTGAACTCGGGGACATTTATGACTGATTTCCTACTTGTCTAAAGGAGCGGCTCAGCTGCCGAGATCGAACCGGGATTTATATGAATGTTGGGGGGGTGGGGGTGTTGGAGGGGGATTGCGGGGTTCTTTACAGCTGTAATTGGGACCGGGGTGACCGCGGCCCTGTATCAGTGAGAGGGTGGCGGATTGGGAGTGGGTTCAGTCAACTGCAGTGGGACGGAAAGAAAGAGAGAGGGAGAGAGAAACCTGTCCCTGTGCATTCGCCGGTGCAGACAGGAGAATGGGGATCGTTTTGAGACTGACCGCCAACACGAGGCACAGTTTGGGAAAGGTTGTTTGGAACCGCCGAAGTGAGTGCAACATAAGTCAGGCTTGAGCGTCCGGTGGTGTGGACAAATAGTGCGTTCTTTGATGCACAGAGATGAGATTTAAAAGTACAGGCAGCAGATAAAGGGGGCAGACACAATAGTTGCAAAAAAAAATAAACAATCTTGTGGCTGGCCAGTAGAATTGGGGTTGAAGGAGAATAATAGACAGGTTGGAGCTGAGTTTAGCCCCTCGCTGCTCATTGTGAAGGTTTCGCTTTCGTTGACGGAATCATCCTGTGATCAGTTTTATTTGGGAAGGGTTCTGGGCCTAATCGGCTTTGTCCCTGCCTGAAGGTGAGGGTGTGATAGAGTTAATTTTTAGAAGATTAGTTAATCGATGCTGTTTGGCGGAGACGATGACAGCTAATTGCCGAGGAGACGGTGTCATTTGCAAAATAATCCTGCGATCAGATTTTTTTTGTTCCTTTTAAGGGAAAGGATATTTTCAATGATTGGGTCTCTAATCGGGCCGGGTTGCTGTATCAGACAGCTCTGGGCAGGCTCCCCGGTGGCTCAATTAAAATGATTATTTTCTTCCCGGTCAGCGAAGCAAAATCTACCTTTACTGTTTCCCACCCCCCTCGGTATCACACCAGCCCAGCCTCGGTAAATACAAACAAAGGGCTGAAATAGGCGGCCCTGTGCTGATACAGTACCTACACAAAAACGCACAGCCTGAGGTCAGGTTAGAACATTAGCTCGGCCCCCGGGACAAGCAGCGCCTTGTTTCCAACCTTTCCAGCTAGGCACCTCTAATTTCAGAACATCAGACAGGACGGGGGGCAATCATTGCAGTGAAAAGGTTGTAAACTGTCAGATCGCCCCATACAATCAGAACTGTACTTCTGCCTCCAGAAATTCACATAGATTCTGGGTTCAAAAGATCAGGATTAATTCTCGTATTTTGGGGAGGGAGGGCTGATAATAAAAGAGGCCCCCGTTGTTATTTAAATGCCCCTGCTGTCACACCAACAGCAAAACCCCACAGCCCGCAGTGAACACAGAGCAGTCCCCTGTATCCGAAGGAGACGGGATAAAAGCAACATTGACTAAACTGACCAGGTTTTTGAGAAGCACCTGAGCAAACTCCCAGAGGCCAGTCACAGTCTGACCAAGGTTCTAGATGACAGAAGGGGGAAGCTGCTAACAGAGAGAAACAGAGACTACATCCTGTTTGACTAAGGGAGTTTAGCTGGTGTCTTTACAATGTTAGTGGTGCGGACGGATCTGGATCAGGATTTTATTTTGTAACTGTCCTTGTGTTTCTGTTTATTTTTTTCTTTCTTTTTTTCTCTCTCTCTCTCGCCTCCGGCATGAATAGTTAAAGAAGAAGCAGAGAGAGAGATCTCAAGTAGTCGGGAGAGCCCGCCTGTGCGGTTGAAGAAGCCGCGGAAAGCTCGCACGGCCTTTACTGACCACCAGCTCGCTCAGCTGGAGAGGAGCTTCGAGCGGCAGAAGTACCTGAGCGTACAGGACAGGATGGAACTGGCGGCTTCGCTCAATCTCACAGACACGCAAGTCAAAACCTGGTACCAGAACAGGAGGTGAGACTAACTGAACCACAGTCTGTTAATAATGCAACAGAACGGAATCAACTCAGACAGAATAAGGGGTTCAGATAAATTAGCACAAAGTCTGACTACAGCTCAATTCCAGGAGGTAGCTAACTCAGATATTTAACAACTCGCAATTCCACGTTTAATCGAGATGAATTGAAATCGCACAGATGATTCAACTCCATGGGAGGATTGTGAGTTACAAACTCCTAACTAGGTTAGATAGGCTGGAAGGATGAGTACGGTTTGTTTGTCGGTCTAACACTGTTAATGTTAAACTTGCACAAGCGACAGTGAATCACAGAGAGGCTGCAAACTGCAGTCGCCATAAACCTGCAGTGTCCTAGTGAAGAGGGTTTAGTTTGTGACGGTGTCGCCTGTCTCCATACAGGGGTACGTTACCGACACAATGCGCTGACGAGTTGGTGGAAGGGCAGAGGGGATTAAGATCCTGTCACATCTCCAGTTATGATCTGCTTCTTATTGGGTTCCCGCCCGCGGTCCCAGAATTTGTTTATTTGACGGGCAGACTAAATCCTAGGAATCAAATTGAATGAGAACATTTCCGAAAAGCACGTATAGCCCAGATAAGGAACCGATAACGGGTTCACTGGTTAAATAGAAGATTTAACACAGACGCAAGTTAGCGGAATCCATTTCACAAACAAACCCTCGCTGGGGCAGGATTTGGTGAACGAAATCCTGGGCAGGAATCGTATCCGAAACCGCGATGAGTCAAGTACAAAATCTAACCATCAACTAAAAGGAAAGTGAGGAGCCGGCCAGTAACGTTCTCCTTCATACAAAAACAGCAATTGCTGGAGAAACTCAGCAGGTGTGGCAGCATCTGTGGAGAGAAACAGGGTTAGTGTTTCGAGTCCAGTGAGCCTACTTCAGAACAGAGCATACTTTTTTCTCTATTCATAACCAGGGACCTTTTAAATATTAACACCAAACGAACGATTAGCTAGCGTTTTACTGTATTAAATGAGCCATAATGTCCAGACGATTTCCAGGATTCAGAGAAGGCGAGTTGCAGAAACCAATAATTGAAACAGCCAGAAACTGAGCAGGAGACAGCAATCGGGGTTGAAAGCGAATGTCCTAGGGAGGCGGATGGGGGAGGGGGCAATAAAATAAACACAGGAGAGAAAGACGCCAAAATAAATGTGACAGAGTCACCTGAATCAAACTACTTTAGAGCACTGAAGCGTAAATAACAAACACCCGAATCCCATCCCAAACTCCGAACTATTTTTAAAGACTGTCCTTGATAGAGGTGGCCAAAATAAAAACCTTCCACTACTTCCACACCAATCGCCGCCCATAAATCAGTGCAAGTGAAATGTGTGCGAAATTGGCATCAACCAACATCTGACTGAGGTTGTGTCTCCGAGCTGTTATATTGTTTATTCACAACTAATCCAGAAGTGTGTGTGTGTGTGTGTCCCTCATCACAACCAGGTCCGTTTCTGTACGTGTCCCTTCATTGATCCCATTTGAATTTCGCCTGGTCCTGCCCATCTTTCTTGTGGAGAGTTGACTGGTCAGGGACCGGTCCTGCGGCTACAGCACCCAGCAATATCCAATTTCTTGTCGGCCCTGTTAACATATCGACAGGGTTGAGAAAATAATTAGAACCAGCGGCTTTTTTAACCACACGAGTTTGCTTTTGGATTAAACAGCCACCTGTCATGGTGACACCCTCACCCGGATCCACATTCACTGTTTAATGTTAGTAACACAAGGCACACACACAGACCGAGAGCCTATCTTTAAGCATCAGTTTTCAGATCGAATCTGTCGCCGAGGTTGAGTAGAAAGCATTTACTAACCACCTCCTTTAAGAAATCAGTTTGTTTCAGTCCCAAAGGAGACCGTACAATACAGACTCCGCCAGAGGAAGTGTACTCGCACCACAAGCTGCAATTACCCTTAAATATCACTCAAACTACTCTCCAAACTGGGCCCAATAGAGGCGATGATGAAAACTGTCTTACTCATGAGGTACAGCAACAGCACCACAAAGGGAAGCAATCATTTTCAGGCACCCTGGGGCGAGCGGTTACATAAAGCTGTCAAACTAACCAGCATTGAGAAATCTGTTAGGGAGAAGGGATAAGGGTTACACTTGAAACACGGTCTATGAAGTTTCTCCTTTATTAATGATAGGACAGGACAGTGTTGCTCCGGTGAATACACACAAGATGCATACCACACACAGACACACACGCACATACACAGACACACACATATACAAAC